CCGGCCTGGGGAGGGCTTCCCTTTTTCACCCAATCAAAGCCCACCGGTGGTCCTACTGTCTAGTGAGGGGACCCTTTCATTGACTAATCGAGTAGAGACGAAGAAGATGGGCACCTGCAGTAACCACTGGAGAGTGGCAAAAGGGAGGGGTTTCCTTTTCTCCTTGCCAAGTGGCGCGGGAAGGTAGTCGCTGGGACTGGAAGACTAAGACGTTTCGGTTTGAGGGATTAGTGAAGAAGCCAATGAAAGTGGAAAGAAGGCGGGGCTGTTCAGGCGAGTGGGGAGCGCCGTTCCTATCAGGTGCTCCAAAGGAGGGCAGGCCGTGCCAGAAATCCGACCTATCAAATTGGAGTTTATTTTAAGGCGGCGGGGTTGGCGAAATGACTGGCAGAAAGCGCTAGCCTATAAGGAGTGTCCCAGACAAACGAGGGCGGGCCCTCCTGCAGAACGGCGTGGGCTGCATCCAATAGGCGTGCAAGGCGTGCAGAGGCTTCCCCTCCCCCCTTGGCGGGACCAGTGGCTCCCCCTATCGGGTGGGGGCGGCGGGTGACAGGCGTGTCCCTCCCCCAATGAGAGGCGGGGGGAGGCGGGTTCTGCGCCGCCATGTCGCGGAGGCTGCTGCCCCGGGCGGAGAAGCGGCGTCGGCGGCTGGAGCAGAGGCAGCAGCCGGACGAGCAGCGGAGGCGGTCGGGAGCGATGGTGAAGATGGCGGCGGCGGGCGGCGGAGGCGGCGGTGGCCGCTACTACGGCGGCGGCAGTGAGGGCGGCCGAGCCCCTAAGCGGCTCAAGACGGACAACGCTGGCGACCAGCACGGAGGCGGTGGCGGCGGCGGTGGAGGAGCCGGGGCGGCGGGCGGCGGCGGCGGGGTGAGGCCAGGGTCTTAGGCGCCAGGGACGGCCGAGAAGGGAGGGAAAAATTTCCACCTTGAGGGTATTCATTTGGTGGGGGGGCCTCTGCGCACGCGCCCAGGCCCTCGCGCTGTGACGGGGTGGGGGAGGGGCAGGCGTTGGGCAAACGGCGGGGTTTGCGCGAGGACAGGCGCTTGCGCGTGCGCGCTACTCCAAGCCGGGGTGGGGGGGCGGTGTAGGAGGCGGAGGAAGTAGCTCGCCCTGCGGGCGGCGCAGTGCGCAGGCGCCGCGGGCTGGGGTGTGGGGGCCAGGCACGCGGCCCGGCCGTTTTTTTTTTTTTTCCTCCCCCTTTATCGTTTAATTCAAGGCCCTCATGCGCAAGCGCACTTCTTCTGCTTGGGCCTCGTGGGCGGGGTGGCACCGCGTGAGCGGGAATGGGTGGGCGGTGGCCTTTTCCGCGCTTGAGTGGGGAATTCTGCCCGATCACTGTTGAATCCATATAGTGTCATAGTTGGTCTCAGTAGAGCAGTTGATTTTATTTGAGGCTCTTCCCCCAGAACAGAATGTGTCCCCATTTTTGTGGGCGGTGAACACCGGAAGAAAAGCTCGTGAAAGGTCTTTTTAGCCGTCTGGGAATTAAATAAACTTTGGAACCGCCACAAGTTAGCTTACAATTTCCGGGAGTTAACTGGATGCAGTTAGGGTTGGATTTGGTGAACCAAAGTGGTCCCTGAGGGTGAGAGTTAAGTTTTCGGTCTCGTAGTCGGAAAGGACCACCATTTGTTCCTCCTGGCTTGGAGCCCAGTTCCTCCCTGCAAGTTCCTGAAGCCCTCTCCCGTTCGGCCATTTGCAGGGTTTTCCAGGCTCTCATGGTGATCTGTAGCTGTGATTTCCTAGTGGTTTAATCTGTGCCTGGCCTCTTTTCACGCATTTAAAAAAATTCCTTAATTAAATCTTCAAGACCTCGGTATGAGATAACAGGGCGGTATTACATTTCTGGACTTGTAAAGATGAGGTGAATTTGTGTAGATCCTGTAGCTGGGCGGGGGGGGGGGGCTAGGATTCGAATTTCCAGGCTGTGGAACTGCACACTGCTGAGCTGCTAGCCATCATCAGGCGGGTGTGCCTCCTGTGGTCTGTGTGGTTCATTCCTGAAATAGGATCCAATTCTGCCCCTGTTCCAGGGGCTTCTGCTTGGCAGTGCCCAGACAGGAGTTTGGGCCCAGAGCCCAGGAGACACGGGGAAAGTTACTTTTCTTATGATTCCCAGCGGCTTCTCTCTGTGTGTGGGTGGAAAGATAGTTCTTGGAAGGGAATGATCTTGGTTTATAGCCATGTGGGTTGGAGTTTCTTTTTCTTTCAGAGGGACCTTTTTTGTCTTGTTTTTCTTGAGGTTGGCCTAGGCAGTGTTTTCCAACACAAATTTTGGTGGGTTATTAAAGACTTGAGGCAGTTGAGATTGCCCTGGCGTTCACAGCTCCTGGGTTACGGGCTGTTGTGCTGTGACTGAACCTGGGGGTGAGTGTGGGGAGCAGTGATGCGTGGCTAAGCAATGCGTTTCACTGGGGAAAGGGCAGAGAGACCATCAGGCGCAGAGGGGGTGTTCTGATTCGGGTTGTGGCAGAGGACCCTTGGAGCGCTTCTTGCAACTACTGTCCCTCTCCACCCCAGTCCTTCCCCTGTTTTCTTGGCCGCTGGGAAGAGAAGTTCTAGGAGGAAGGTAAGGTAGGGGACATGCTTCATTTTCCATTTGCAGTAGGAGCCATAGGGAAGTGGCCACCCCCTGGGGCCTGTACTTAGCCGGCACCAAACCCTTTTGGGCCGATCTGTGCAGTGCCATCCTTTGTTGTCTGCCGTGCGATGACACTTAAGCGCTTCATCGATTGCGGCCCCAGCAGCACCCACGGCAGCGGGCCACTATCTCGTACAGCAGGAAACAAAGTTACGTTCTTGCTTCCTTTCTCAGGAGAACTACGATGACCCCCACAAAACCCCTGCCTCCCCAGTTGTCCACATCAGGGGCCTGATCGACGGAGTGGTGGAAGCTGACCTTGTGGAGGCCTTGCAGGAATTTGGACCCATCAGGTACTGTGCTCAGAGGCCAGGGGTGGACATAGAGGAGTCAACTTCTTAGCTTCCTGTGCGTTCTTAGTTTTCGGTTGGAAGGGGTGTGGCCAGTTTGGCCCAGGGTCCTTTGGCTATGTCCTGGTCCCCCCTCTGCTTTTGGGTTTGGCTGTCCTAGTTGGGGCCAGATTTTTAGTAAGTTTCATGTCCCCCCCACTCCCCCTTATAGTTTCTAGAGTTTCTAGTCCGCATTCTCTCATTCAGCGAATAGTTATTAAGTGTATTTGTTACACCTTAGGTGCTGGAAATAGAGTAGCAAATGAGATTGTCTTTGGCCTCTCCCAGACAGCCACCTACCCAGAGTGGTCAGCACTGTGATAGGAAAGTCCAGGAGTCCGTAGAAGGCAGCTGCCTCAGTCCAGGGAGGAGGCTTCAGGAAGGCAGGCTTCTCAGAGGAGGTGATGCGGGCTCTTTCATCTGTTGTGCCACTTCGGGTGTTGGGTGTTCAGGTCAGGAAAACGTGATGGAGGTACAGAGGAGTCGTGAGAGAGGAGTCAGTTCACAGAAAGTGGAACATCTTCCTCTTGTCTGCCTTCTGGAAGGACTGAAGCCTGTGTTCTCTCTGCCAGTTATGTGGTAGTAATGCCGAAAAAGAGACAAGCGTTGGTGGAGTTTGAAGATGTTCTAGGGGCTTGCAACGCCGTGAACTACGCAGCCGACAACCAAATCTACATCGCTGGCCACCCGGCTTTCGTCAATTACTCTACTAGCCAGAAGATCTCCCGCCCCGGGGACTCGGATGACTCCCGGAGCGTCAACAGCGTGCTTCTCTTTACCATCCTGAACCCGATCTATTCGATCACCACGGTGCGTGTCAGCGAGCCTTGTTTTAGATGCTTCTGTCAGATCGTCCTTTTTTCCTTCCTGTCCCCTTGTCTGAGGCAGATTGACCTACCGGTGCCCTTTCATCTTGCCCATGTACTTCTTACAGGATGTTCTTTACACTATCTGCAATCCTTGTGGCCCCGTCCAGAGAATTGTTATTTTCCGGAAGAATGGCGTCCAGGCCATGGTGGAATATCCTTTGCTGGGAGAGGGAGGTTTTTTGAGGTGGATGTTCTGTCTTTTCAACCAGCATGGAACTTCTTGAGTGCCTGCTGTTTGCCACATTCCTTCAGAGCGTGCCCAGTCTGATGGGAGGGGTCGTTCATAAGCAGTCTGTGACGTACGCGAAAGCTCACGGTCAAGTGCTGTGGGGGAGAAGTGGGGTGCAGGGAGTGACCAGGACACCTGACAGGGTGTATCTAATTCTGTGAGGAGGTAGGAGCTGGTGTTCCAAGACAGGAACTGGTTCGTGCAGAGGTGCTCAGGTGGGCAGGAGCTTGGTGCAGGCGGAAGCAGAAGGTTCCTGCAGGCCTTGGAAGAGGTCAGCAGGGCATCTACGCAGTGGGAAGCCACTGATGGAGTCCCGAGGCGGGAGCATCATCTGGTTGATGTGTTAAGATCGGCTTTGATCACAGCACGTGGCATAAGAGGGAGAGGACTGGGCTAAAAAAGAAAGTGGCTTAGCCTGGGGTGGTGGCAGTGGGGGCTGCCAGCCACTCTGGGCTGGGAGTGCAGACGACAGGGGAACTCAGGACAGTGGCCACTCGCCCAGGCAGCCCTCCAGCCCGTCTTCGTGCAGGCGGCTAGTGACAGGGCAGGGAGCACACGTGTAGAGCGCATGTGCAATGTGGTCTTTCAGTGCTCCTTGTCCTCCCTTCCTGGGCCAGCTTGCAGCCCTTCCCAGAGAGCACCCATCCCAGGGCTTTCCTTAACTTTACTCACATTTGATTCTGTGCAGAGTGCCCAGCGGGCCAAAGCCTCACTCAATGGGGCTGACATTTACTCGGGCTGCTGCACTCTGAAGATCGAATATGCAAAGGTAGGTTCTGGAAATGACTGCCCCTTGTCGGCTTCCAGGGGAGCCGGGGCCTGGCTAATTTCAAGCTGTGTCTTGTCCCTGCAGCCTACACGCTTGAATGTATTCAAGAACGATCAGGACACTTGGGACTACACAAACCCCAATCTCAGTGGACAAGGTAATCCTGATGGCCACTTTGTTCTAAACACACCCGCCTTGCCTTCACTTGACTAGTGCACTTCATAGACCCGGGCTCAGGGTTATGTAATGCCATTGGGCTCCCTGTGGACATGGGAGGGCCTGGGGGGGCGATCAGGTCTCGGAAAAGACACCCCAGTGGGAGACAGTGAATGAAGGGGCCTCTGTAGGTTCTAGCCGCTGCTGGGGGCCCTTCGATGTGGCTGAGGGTGCAGAGCCAAGGCAGAGGCTTGGACGGGGTGGGGAGCAGGTCCTCAGCTGAGCACAGGGCAAGGCGGCGGCTTGTAAACTGGCGGCAGCTCCCAGATGGATTCTGCTGCTTCCCTTCTGGGACCTGCTCAGGGTCATCAGCTCTCCATTCTCACTGGGCCAGGACGGCTTCTCTTGCTCTCCGCTATGGAGAGGGCCTGCTGGGGGAGGCGGGGGGAGCAGGCCCGGGAGGCCATGAGGGTTCCTGGGCCCTTGGAGCAGAGCCTTTGAGCAAGCTGACCTTGTGGAGGTGAGACACCCTGGATTGGAGCAGGGCGGACATGCCTCCCCTCACTTGTAGAGGGGACTCAACATCTCTGCGGGGGGCCCAAATGGACAACCCCCTTTCTAGAATCTGTCAAGAATGGTCTGCCTTGGATAGGAGGGAGAGGTGGAGGAGTGCCTTTGAAAACCAGCCGCACCCCCTCAGCGGGACCGTCCGTCTCTGTGTGTCCTGGTCTGCTACGTCGGACTAGGCTGCGGGCTGAGGGAGGAGGCTGGTCGCTGACCTCCAACAGGCTCTGGGAGGCCGAAGGCCCCCATTCCCAGGCAGGCCCGTCTTGCTCGCCCTCGCGGCTGGGAAGCAATGGGCAGGGTGGGCTAGACTCTCCCCAGGACCCTCACAATGGGCGCTGTGGGCATGGCTGCCCCTCCAGAGATCAGAGGCAAATTGGTGACCGAGTGAATGTACCAGAGCGGGCAATGGCATTACATGACCGCTAACAGAAACATGGCAACCAACCATTTCTTCTCCAAGGAACACAAATAGAAGATGTGCAGACCGGCAGGGGCTAGTGGCAGGGGCCGGCTGTGCATTGGTTTCGATGCCTCTCCGCTTTGGCCGCCCTGAGGCTGGGGGCCAAACACGAGAGCCGATGAGGGGACCTGGAGTGAGGCGGTGCTTCGCCACCCCTCGGGAACCGTACTTCAGCGGCTCCGCCTCTGCACATTGCCCACCAACACACAGGGTAGGAACCACTAGCTCTTCCTGGAGAGAACAGAACACGCAGCCTCCACCACGTCCCCAGAAACAGCCGCAGACTTGAGCTCACTACATCAAGAACACCACACCGTGCTCCACGGAACAGCTCCAAGCACAGAGACAGAGGCAGACAGAGACAAAGAGAGAAAGAGACGCAACATGGCAGCAGACACTGCTTTTTATTAAACATTAAAAAAAAAAAAGGCAAAATCCAAGCAAACTTGAACCCGAGAATGTACACAGAAGTAGGAAACACAGAGAACAGAGCTCTCCCAGCCAGCCAGCGGCGCTCTTTTCGGAGAACGTTTCATAGACTGAAGTAGATTCCATGGGCCTCCAAGACAATAGGATCCTCTCTCCATTCCTCGCCATGTGGGTTGTTTTTTGTTTTTTGTTTTTTTTTTTTAAGTCCTTTGGTTTGGGGAGGGCCTTTTTTTTTTCTTTTCTGTTTTGATATTTTTATTTTTTCCGCAGTCATCGGCTGCCAACATAATCTGCACCAACTGGAGATCAGAAACCAAAAAAAAAAAACTTAACCACAACAACAGCAACAAAAAAAAAAAATCAAAAAAAAAAAAAAAAAACCAGACCTAAAACCAGACAGCCAAACAGCTCAGAGGTACACAGTTACCTGCTGGCGGGTAACCGGGCGCGCTCCCGAGGCCACAGCGCGGGCGTAGTGGGGCCCCCGGCACACTTCACAACCAGGAGACACGCACACGGAGCGCCACACAGCCAGAAGCACCGCACCACCGCACTGCAGCACACAATGTGAGGAGGTGACAACACGGAGGGACACTACCCACTTCATACACCTTTATTTTCCACTTTTCTGGTATCTTCTGAGGAGAGAACATCTGTGAGCCATTTTTGATTAAAAGCATTGACTTTAAAAAAAAAAACAATTCTTAAAGAAAAGATTTGTAGCGGATGTGTGCCGTAACTTGTATTTATGACTGTAAAACCATGTGATGCAGGGTCGCAGTGTATGTTTGATGGGACGCCATCTTTCAGAACTGTGCTAACTCACTGTTGAAGCGTCCAATGGTAAGAGAAAATACAGATTTGTTTTTTGTGACAAATGGACATTGTACTCTGTACTTCTGCTGTAAGTAGCCCTTTTCCATCTTTGTAATGACTGATTGTTGAAAACGAAACCCAGGCTGGGTGGCAGGAAAGGGCAGTGGTCTCGATGCGTGGGTGTTGGAGTCTGCCAGACCTGGGTTCAAATCCTGGCTCAGCTGCTAACTTGCCTTGTGACCTTGGGCCAGCTTGTGTCTCTTAACTGCTCAGTTAAAAGTTAAGTGCTCGGGTTCCTTATCTGTAAAATGGGGCTGCACCAGCACCTACCTCATAGGGTTGTTGTGAGGAATTTCAGAAGCGGCGATGTCTGTAAAGCGCTCAGCACAGTGTCCGGCACTCGAGCGCTCAAGTCACGTGGCGACTCTGAAGTGCAGAGGGCTCTGGGGTGGATCTGCGCCATTGTCCGGGTCTGAGAATGTCGATGCCTTGTATGCGACTGCTCAACTGAACTGGTTCTCCTATTGCCCTGCTTGTCCTTGCCTACGGCCCCTCTCCCGGGGTCCGATGTGATGGGGGTGGAGTGGAGGGGGGAGAGGGTTGTGGGCAGACCAGGGTCGAGGAAGGTGGGCCTAGAGAGCTGGGTGGGCCTAGCGCTTCTAGAACCTTGGGACTTTGGGGGCCGGATTTTATCTTCCTTCTGACCTGCCCTTCCTCGGTTGTCTTCCTGCTCTTTGCTCCCCTCCCTTCAGCGGGAGTTGCTGCAGAGATCTGTTGTCGGCCTCCGTGACTTAACAGCTTCCATAGCCTCTGCAGGGCTTCCCAGGGGACCCGAGAGCCGGGCCTCCCCTTCAGGCCAGGGCAGGGGAGAGCGAGCCCAGAAGCGGGCCGCCTCTTTCCCAGAGAGAGGAAACCAGCTGCGTGGTACGGGCTGGGGACGGGACGTGGGCCCCAGCCTGGAGCCTTGGGCTTCAGGCCCACCCGGGGTCAGGCCGCAGGAAGGGGGGCCCCAGCAGCTCAAGGAAGGGAGGCTTTGCCTAAGGCTTGCAGCACCTGGAGGTCTTCGAGGTTAGCCTCTAGTCAGGAGGGAAGACCCCCTTTGTGCCCAGTTCGGCTCTTAACTGTTTTCTCTGTCCGCAGGTGACCCTGGCAGCAACCCTAACAAACGCCAGAGACAGCCCCCTCTCCTGGGAGACCACCCCGCAGAATATGGTGAGGGCAGGGGGTTCCCCTCCGTGGACTCCCGTGGCTCATGCGCCCCTGCCCGCCGCCCGCCGCGCAAATTCTCACCCGCCCTCCCTCTCTTTCCTTCCCACCCCCCAGGAGGGCCCCACGGTGGGTACCACAGCCATTACCATGATGAGGGCTACGGGCCCCCCCCACCTCACTACGAAGGGAGAAGGATGGGCCCGCCCGTGGGGGGTCACCGCCGGGGCCCAAGTCGCTACGGCCCCCAGTATGGGCACCCCCCACCCCCTCCCCCACCACCCGAGTATGGCCCCCACGCCGACAGCCCTGTGCTCATGGTCTATGGCTTGGACCAGTCTAAGATGAACTGTGATCGGGTCTTCAATGTCTTCTGCTTGTATGGCAACGTGGAGAAGGTGAGTCGCGTGCAGCGCGTGGCTTCGCTGTAGACCTGCCAGGCCCAAGCTCTTACGGGGGGAGACGGAGCCTGGCTAGGGGCCAGCTGGTTCCGAGAGGGGAGCTCAGTTGAGCAGGGGACCAGCTGCAGACATTTTGTTTGGCCCTCTCCGTGGGGGGGTGTTAACTCCAGGACTTTTTAACACAGAAGCACTGCTACTCAATATTACACGAGCGTGATTTATAAAGCTTCACGTAGTTAGAGATCACCATGCGAGGATTCTCTCTAGAAAACTTAGGATGATCTGGCAGTACCGGGCCTTCCTGCCTTGCCTGTGTACCAGGCGGTTCACGTCTGACCAGCTGGCTTCGTGCCTCTGCCTGAGCCTGTAGCGCGGCCTAGCCCACACATCAAAGCAGCAGCGGCTGGTGCAGGCTGAGCATTCCTCCTGTGTGTCAGGCACTATTAAAAATGCTCGGCACGTAGTAACTTGCATTTCACTGGAATCATCAATTAGACGAAGAAGGGAATGAAGGCACGGAGGGTGAATAACTTGCCCAGGTTCACAGACCTTCACATGGGAGCAGGGCTCAGAGCCTGGGAACAGAACTGGGCTTTAGTGCCTGTTCTGTTTTACTGTCTTCAGTGCTGTCACACACACACAGAAACGGTTTCTTTTTTTTTTTTTTTTTTTGCCCCTCAAGGTTGTTTTGTTTTTGTTAACATTTATTTATTTTTGAGAGATGGAAAGAGCAAGAACGGGAGGGGCAGAGAGAGGGAGACACACAGAATCTGAGGCAGGCCCCAGTTTGACACGGGGCTCAAACTCACGAACTGTGAGATCATGAGCTGAACCAAAGTCAGACACTCAACCGAGCCATCCAGGTGTCCAATTTTAAGTATTTTTGAGACAGTGTGCGCTCATGCGTGAGCAGGGAATGGGGAGGGGCGGGGTGGGGGAACAGGATCAGAAGCTGGGTCTCTGCTGAGAGCCAGGAGCCTGACGTTTTATTTTCTCGCCATGTCCCCTGGCTTTTGTCATACTTCGTTAAGTGATAGGCCCAGGGACCATCTCCTGACTGACGTTAGAAACGCACTGTTGAGCTGAGCACTTCCTGTGGGTCAGACCCGCTGCTCAGTTCTCCCGAAACCTTATTCCTAAGTGAGGAGATGGAAGCCTCGTTCCGGAGCCGGGAGTTATGGCGTTTAAGTGACTCAGAACGGGTGGGACCCGGGGGGGGGGTTCCCTGGAGGTTGGCTGATGGCGCTGATCATGGTTGCCGTCCTCCAGGTGAAATTTATGAAAAGCAAGCCGGGGGCCGCCATGGTGGAAATGGCTGATGGCTATGCCGTGGACCGGGCCATCACTCACCTCAACAACAACTTCATGTTCGGGCAGAAGCTGAACGTCTGGTAGGTGCCTCGCCCATGCGGGCTCAGGAGTGTCGGAGAGGAGCTGCGAAGGAGGGAAGCGGGACGGGCCGCTTGGGAGAGAGCCGGCTGCGTGTCCAGGCAGGAGTGGGGTGTTGTGGGAATGCTCCCTGGGGCTCAGCTGAAGCAGTGAGGGGGGAAAGCGCGCCGGCCTCACCTCGGCTGTGGAGCGAGGCCCCCATGCGGGGCTCGGGGGCTGACCGAGGGCTCCCTTCGGCGCTGCAGCGTCTCCAAGCAGCCGGCCATCATGCCCGGGCAGTCATACGGGCTGGAAGACGGGTCGTGCAGTTACAAAGACTTCAGCGAGTCCAGGAACAATCGGTTCTCCACTCCGGAGCAGGCGGCCAAGAACCGCATCCAGCACCCGAGCAACGTGCTGCACTTCTTCAACGCCCCTCTGGAGGTGACCGAGGAGAACTTCTTTGAGGTGGGTGCTGTGCCACGGCCGTCCTAACGGGCTCTTTGTTTCAGACTTTGAGCAGGTCTCTGTGGAGGCCCCGCGCTCTGCCAGGCCCCAGCTTGGGTACCAGGGTCACGGCAGGGATCAGGATAGACGGGCCGAGGAGGACGCCAGACTCAGTGTGCAGTTTTGACAGGCAGGGGTGGGCGGCAGCTTCTCTGGAAGTTTCCTCCTCCGAGTGACACCGTGCAGTGGTCAGAGTCCAGCCTCAAACATCCACCCTGTCAGGCCCTTCGGGACCCAGATAACACTGGAGGGGAGCTCTCGTGTGAGGGCCGGGCCTGAGGAAACCGGGCCGGGAGGGGCGCGGGGCTGAGCGGCAGGGACGGACTTCAGACCCTGCCCTGGCCTCACGCGTGGCCATTCGGTTCAGCAAACATTTGCTTAGTGCCGCCCGAGTGGCCGTAGATGGGGATTTTAAAAAGCGGTTTCTCCGTTGTTTGGTAACGTAACAGTAACACTGTAATGATGATGGTTAACTCTGGTAAAAACGGAGTCTGAGGAGTGTGTCTTCGCCTTATTTGGGCCACGGGGCCACTTCAGAGCGTGTGTGTGATGAAAGCTTAGAAACGCTGCAGTCAGAGTGTAAGCGCTCCCCTTCCGGGCCGCTTGCGCCTTGCCGTGTGGCCCTCCTGTGTCCCAACGGGGTTTGCATCTCTGCAGATCTGCGACGAGCTGGGGGTGAAGCGACCGTCTTCTGTGAAAGTGTTCTCAGGCAAAAGTGAGTACCGGTCCGCCCTCGCCCCCGGGCCTGGGCTGCGGGTGGGCGGCCGGCCCCGCCTCCGCCTCCGCCTCCTGCCCAGCCTAAAACCTCTGCCCCGTGAGCAGGTGAGCGCAGCTCCTCCGGGCTGCTGGAGTGGGAGTCTAAGAGCGACGCCCTGGAGACTCTGGGCTTCCTGAATCACTACCAGATGAAGAACCCCAGTGAGTACCTGCGTGTCCGGCAGCCGGCCCCTCCAGGCTGACGGTGGGCCGGCTTCAGGCCAGAGCCGCCCTTCCCGCCACCGACATAGGGCCCCAGAAATCTCTTCACCGTTCCTGACACGGGCAGGGGAACCTGGTTGCCAGGAGATTGGCCCGATGGTCCCCGTGGGAGGGCCAGCCTGGCTGTTGGCCGCCACCCGCCCTGCCAGCCTGGCGCTGAACCCCAACTATCCCCTCGGGAGTGGCACTCAGTGCGTCAGAAGCTGCCGGTAAACAGCCAGCAGTGTCTGTTGCTGGAGCTGGCTCCGTACCCAGGAAGGGGACTGCTCTGGCCCGCGGGTGAAAAGCGGCCGTGACCGGTCCCGCTGCAGTGGTGGAGACGGGGCGGGGCTGGGCCGTCCCGTCAGAGCCCTGGAGAGGGGTCCCCACAAGTGTCTCTGTTCTCTCTCTCTCTCTCTCTCTCGCAGATGGGCCGTACCCTTACACCCTGAAGTTGTGTTTCTCCACCGCTCAGCACGCCTCCTAATAGGTGCCTCAGAAGAGTCCCATCTGAGCAGGAAAACGTTTCTTTCCTTTATGCTGTTTGTTTGGTTTTTGTTTTGTTTTGGGTTTTTTGTTTTTGTTTTTGTTTTTTTGCAAAAGTTCCTGTATTCCTTTTTTTAAATGCTAGGTTAGTAGGCTTAAGCATAATGGAAGCGCTGGAAGTCTGGAGGGGGAGGGAAGGGGAACTGAGATCTCCCAAGATTAACCTTCACTTTTTAAAAAATTATTGTACATGTGATTTTTTTTTTCCTGTTCATACATTTGTGCTGCCTGTGTACTCTTGGCGCATTTCAATAAAATTGTTTGGAAAATACACAGCATGCTTCCTAGCATTCCAGGGTGTGTCTGCTTCCCTCCCGCCTGGCCCTCTGCTGGGGTCCGGAACCAGAAGGCCGCGGGGGTCTGGTCCGCCAAGGAATGGGGGAGCCCGGGGGAGCCAGGCAGCAGGCGGCCCTCTGCCAGGGCCCTGCCCACACAAGCCCACAAGCCGAATCTGGTTGGAGAGTCCCTTAAAATGTAAATGTTGCCCAGGGGCACCTACCTGAGTGGCTCAGTCGGTTAAGCGTCCGACTTCGTCTCAGGTCATGATCTCACAGTTTGTGGGTTCAAGCCCTGCGTCGGGCTCTGTGCTAACAGCTAGCTCAGAGCCTGGAGCCTGCTTCAGATTCTGTGTCTCCCTCTCTCTCTCACCCTCCCCTGATCACGCTGTCTCATAAATAAATAAAAACACTTAAGAAATTAAAAAAAAAGTAAATGTTGCCGAAAAACTTCCAAAACGTTGAGAAAAACAAACCAAAAGCCTTAATCCTGCCAAGTGGCAACTTGTTTTTATAAGGTTGGAAATGAAGACCTGAGAAAGATCAAAGGTGAAAGTCTCCCCAGTCCCTTCAATGAGTTTTGGTCTTTTTTCTTTCCCTCCTAAAATGTGGCGTCTGAACGGTTTGCTGCTTTCAGAGCAGGAGTTGGGGAGGGGCAGTGAGGGGGACGGGGACATGAAGTGGGCCTAGGGGACAGCACAGCCCAGCTCACAAACGTGACATCATGACCTGAGCCACCCAGGCGTCCCGAGTGTTGCTTGTAAGGAAATGCCCCGTGCAATGCAGCGCTGTGTGCCACACCGCACCCACAGCTGCCGCCTCTGCCCCTTGCGCGCCATCTAGGGACGTGTCCTGATTTACCTGCTTTTAAAGGTAAAATCTAATTTTTAGCTACTGTAAACAATGCCATGTGATGGGCGCTCTGCAATTGTGGATTGGAGCGTTGGGGGGGCGTGGCAGGCAGTAGGGTGGGAGGGACCTTGACTCACAGTGGAGGGAAGAAGTTGTCATCTTAGAAGAACACGTAAAAAGCACAGTCAGTTGTGCCTTGTTCACGCACATGCCCTTGAAAATGAACCCACTGGGGCACCGGGCGGCCTCCTTTGGAAGAGAGTGCAACTCTTGATCTTGGGTTCTAAGTTTGAGGCCCACATTTGGTGTCGAGATTACTTAAAATCTTGGAGGCACCTGGGGGGCTCAGTTGGTTGAACATCCGACTTCAGCTCAGGTCATGATCTCCCAGCTCAGGAGTTCAAGCCCTGCATCGGAGCCTGCTTCGGATTCTGTGTCTCCTCTCTCTGCCTCTCCCCAATTCTCTCTAAATAAAATTTGAAGTTACTAAAAAAAAAAATCCAAAGTCGGATGATTAACCGACTGAGCCACCCAGGCTCCCGAGGGATTTACTGTGAAGGTTTTTTTTGAACGCTTTTTTAAAATTTATTTTTGAGAGAGACAGCATGAGTAGAGGAGGGTCAGAGAGAGAGAGAGACACAATCCAAAGACAGTCTCCAAGCTCTGAGCTAGCTGTCAGCACAGAGCCCGACACGGGGCTCGAACCCATGAACTGTGAGATCATGACCTGAGCTGAAGTCAGACGCCCAACTGACTGAGCCACCCAGGAGCCCCTTGTTTTGTTTTGTTTTGTTTTGTTTTGTTTTGTTTTGTTTTGTTTTTAAAAGTTCTTTTCTTTATTTTTTTATTTCTAGGAGAGAGAGAGAGAGACAGCGTGAGCAGGGGAGGGTCAGAGAGAGAGGGAGTCACAGACTGAAACAGGCTCCAGGCTCTGAGCTGGCAGTCAGCACAGAGCCCGACGCGGGGCTCGAACCCACGAACCGCGAGATCATGACCTAAGCGAAAGTTGGACGCTTAACCGACTAAGCCACCCAGGCGCCCCCCCTTGTTTGTTTTTAAGAGGGCATAAGTGAGCAAGGGACAGAGGGAAAGAGACGCAGGGCTTGTGTTTACTTGAAGCAGAGCTCATGTTCACCTGATGTGGGGCTGGAGCTCACCCGATACAGGACTTGAACTCATGAACCATGAGATCATGATCTGAGCTGAAATCAGATGCTTAGCCAACTGAGCCACCAAGGCACCCTACTGTGAAGTTTTAAAACAGATTATTAATGGGGCACTTGGGTGGCTCAGTCGTTTGTCCAACTTTGGCTCAAGTCATGATCTCACAGTTTGTGAGTTCAAGCCCCACATTGGGCTCTGTGCTGACAGCTCAGAGCCTGGAGCCTGCTTCAGATTCTGTGTCTCCTCTCTCTGCTCCTCTCCTGCTCATGCTCTCGTCTCTCTCTCTCAAAAAAATAAACATTAAAAATTAAAAAAAGAAAAGAGAGATTGTTAACATCTGAAGTCCCATGGCATTTATGGGATGAACAACCTGCTTCACCAGGGTGTTTTAGACAACATCTGGAAAGGGGAAACTACAGTCACCTTGCAGCCATAAACTTATTTTAAAATTTCTTTTTGATGTTCATTTATTTTTGAGAGAGAGAGACAGTGTGTGAGCAGGAAAGAGGCAGAGAGAGAGGGAGACAGAATCTGAAGCAGGCTCCAGGCTCTGAGCTGTCAACACAGAGCCCGATGTGGGGCTCAAACTCACAAAGCTCGAGATCATGACCTGAGCCCATGTTGGATGCTTAACTGATTAAGCCATCCAGGAGCCCCATAAACTTCTAAATCCTCTAGGATTTGTTTTCAAGGCAATCAAAGGGGTAAAAAGTAAATTTTCCTGTCTTGTCTCCCAGCACGCAGTTTTTATCCCTTGCCAGCAATTTTTGAATCTGCTTTCAGAGATACTCTATGTATGTACTATAGCCTATGCACAAACAGACATGTATAACCATCTTTTTCATACCAATTGATCATGCTGAGTATCGTACATGTTTAAATTGTTTCTCTTGGGGGAGCATAGCTGCCTCAGCAGTTAGAGCGTGCAACTTGATTTCAGGATTGTGAGTTTGAACCCCATGTTGAGTATAGAATATTTATTTAAATTTTATTTTTAAATATTTTTATTTTTTATTTTTGAGAGACAGAGAGCACGAGTGGGGAAGGGGCAGAGAGAGAGGGAGACACAGAAAGAATCTGAAGCAGGCTCCAGGCTCTGAGCTGTCAGCACAGAGCCTGATGCGGGGCTCCAGCGGGGCTCGAACTCATGAACGTGAGATCATGACCTGAGCCGAAGTCAGACACTTAACCGGCTGAGCCACCCAGGCACCCCTTTATTTAATTTTTTAAATGTTTGTTTATTTTGAGACTGCCAGAGATAGTGCACAAGTGGGGGAGGGATAGAGAAAGGGAGAGACACAGAATCCAAAGCAGGCTCCAGGCTCTGAGCGGTCAGCACAGAGCCTAAGGTGGGGCTTGAACCCACAGACTGAGAGATCATGACCTGAGCCAATGCTGGACGCTCACCTGACTGAGCCACCCAGCCACCCCTAGTTGGTCTTATTTTTTAAAGAAATTATTTTAAGAATATGAACTTCAAAGCCACATTAATCCCTTCTTTACTCCTAAAGCCCAGATAACCTTGAACTAGGAACTTTCCCTTCCCCCAAGCTCCAGTTCCCTTTGTGTACAATGAAAAATAGTGTGTGTGAGAGCTCAAAGAGATACACAGACGGCCCCTTCTTGGCTAGTCTATTGTCTATATTTTCATTACCTTGTGTGGGTTATGCTCGGTACTAGATTACTTTTTTCTTTTCCGTTAACACGGTACAAGGGCATGATTACAAAGTTGCAGGGCCACGGTTATTCTGCCATTATGTCCTTGAACATTTCAGCTGTTTCCGATGTTTCCATCATTATACAACAGCGCCCTAATGAACTATCCGGCAGCAACAAGCCAGGTTCCTACTGGGGCAAAGGTCTCATTTCTAAACTGTAATCGGCGGACTAAGAAAGCGATTTCCGGATGCCCTTAGTAAAGATGGCGGAGAAACTGGCGTCACCGCCAGCCAGGCTGCGTCATCGGTGCCCTCGCCAAACATGGTAGCCTCGTGCACGCCCCCTTGATTTCCTCCAGTCGGTCATTCCCACCAGCAACTCAGAGGCAGAGGCGGCAGAGATGGCGGCTTCTCTCAGATTCCGAGATCTGCTGATGCGGAGTGAGTCACCTCGACCTCCGGGAGTCCCTAGCGCTGTCGTGCTGTCGTAGCCACTGTAGGATGGGGAAGCCTGTCCCGGGTCCCGGTTGGAGCGCTTTAAACACAGGGGAGCACGTGCTCCCAACGAAAAAGCTCCCTAATTTTGTAGGCCTGTGGCTTGCAATTGGGTGACTGACAGCTTAGTGTTCCCAATCTGGGGTCCCTCCTTCCCATGATCAAGGGTCTGAAGTAGTGGACTGGGGCCACTGACAAGTGCACCTAATCTTAAAGGGGTGTGTGTGTGTGTGTGTGTGTGTGTGTGTGTAACTTTATTTTGAGAGAGACAGAGAGTGAGCAGGAGTGAGGTGGCGTGGGGGAGGCAGGGGCGGGGTTGTGCAAGGAGAGAGAGAAAATCCAGTTTGGGGCTCGAATTCATGAATGGTGAGATCATGACCTGAGCCCAACCAAGAGCCTGAGGGTTAACCGACTGAGCCACCCAGGCACCCCTGCCCTTAGATTTCATAGGGGCCTGTGCTCCCCAGTCTAACATCACTGGGATGTAATGTGTCCTCTTTGCCCTTGAAGGAGCTGTGACCCCAACGTGGGCGTCATCAAAGGCTCTTCTTTCCTTTGCATCCCCAGGACTGATGGCTCCCACTCCTCAGGGTCCCAGGCTTTGCCTTCGCCTCATGAGCTCCTCTGCACAAGAAGAGGTCCCCAAAGAAGCCCCAGACCACAGCTACGAGTCCCTCCGAGTGACCGCTGCTCAGAAGCACATTCTGCATGTGCAGTTAAACCGGCCTGAGAAGAGAAATGCCATCAACAAGGCCTGCTGGAGGTAGGGCCTGCAGATCACTGAGGGCTGCCTGCAGGAGGAAGCAAGGGCTGAGGGAGTGGGCAGGGGTGAGGTGTGGGGGTCGGGGGACAAGAGGGCAGGGGAAACCCTCCCAAGACGCAGCCCTTCTCTCCTTGCCCCTCCACAGAGAGATGCTGGAGTGCTTCAACAAGATAGCACAAGACCCTGATTGCCGGGCAGTGGTGATCTCTGGGGCAGGAAAAGTGTTCACTTCAGGTACCCGGTGCTCTCCACCCCGACCCCTGCCAATCTCTCAGTGTTTATTTGGTTTTCTTAATGTGTATTTATTTTTGAGAAAGGCACACACACACAGAACGCCAGTGGGGGAAGGGCAGAGAGAGAGAGGGGGAGACACAATCCAAAGCAGGCTCCAGGCTCCAAGCTGTTGGCACAGAGCTCAACACAGGGCTCGAAGCCATGACCCGTGAGATCATGACCTGAGCCGAAGTCAGACGCTTCATCATCATCGACTTAAGCCACTCAGGTGCCCTGAACGATGCTTCTTAATTAGGGTTTTAACCAGCTTCTAACTTCTACTTTTATCTTTCTTTTTCCTTTAATTTAAAACATTCAAAGCCCAAATTTAGTCCAGCAGAATATGACAGGATGGGTGTTGAAGTCTGATCTTTTTTTTTTTAATGTTTATTTATTCTTGAAAGAGAGACAAAGTATGAGCAGGGGAGGGGCAAGAGAGAGAGGGAGACACAGAATCCAAAGCAGGTTCCAGGCTCTGAGCTACCTGTCTGCACAGAGCCTGATGTGGGGCTCGAACCCATGACCCGTGAGATCATGACCTGAGCCAAAGTCGGACACTTAACCAACTAAGCCATCCAGGTGCCCCTGAAGTCTGATCTTGACCAAGGACCTTAACCTCTCAGTCTCTTGTTGTTTCTTTTAATGTCACTAAAGTGTATTATAATAACATGCTTTCATGTAATTATTCAACACATACAAACTGATTTCCAATTACACGTCTGTTAGAACTTTTAATTGTGCCACAGACCTGTTCTTCAGACCGGATAATTTCCACTGGCCACATTCACCACGACCACATTCATCATGACCTTTGTCATCTCTGTTCTGCTGTGAAGCCCACCCAGTGATCTTGTAAAAAATTTCGGACACTGTAGTTTTCGGTGCTCAAATTTCCATTTGGTTCTTTTTTATATTTGCCATTTCTCCACAGAAGTTTCGTATCTCACTATTTGTCACAAGCACGGTTTTCTTTGTACCTTCGATCATAGTTAGAACCACTGCTTTAAAACTCGCTAAAGTTTATTTATTTATTTTGGGAGAGCAACAGAGAGAGAAGGAGCAGGGGAGGGGCAGAGAGAGAGGGAGAGAGAAAGAATCCCAAGCAGGCCCCGCACTGTCAGCACAGAGCCCCATGCGGGACTCGATCTCACAGACCATGAGATCGTGATCTGAGCCAAAATCAAGAGCTGGCACTTAACTGACCGAGGCACCCAGGTACCTGTTTCCTGATTCCAGCATCCGGGTCACTTTGGGGTCAATCCCTGTCCATTGTCTTTTGTCCTGAACAGCTGGGTCTCATCCTTTTTATCTGCAATTGGGGTAAGTTTGGATTGTATCCTGGATATTGGAATATGGAAAGATGTGGGAACTGTGGATGCTGGAATTCTCGACCTGGCGAGAAGGTCCAGTTTCCTGCGTGAGCGGCCGAGTTGGAATCAGTTTTTAAATCTCTTGTGCCTGAGTGGCTCAGTCGGTTAAGCATCCGACTTCAGCCCAGGTCATGATCTCACAGATTGTGAGTTCGAGCCCCACGTCGGGCTCTGTGCTGACAGCTCGGAGCCTGGAGCCTGCTTCACATTCTGCGTCTCCCTCTCTCTCTGCCCCTCCCCCACTCACACTCTGTCTCTCTCTGAGCTCTGAAGAACTTTCTGGTTCTTCAAGCCCCACTTCCAGCCTCACCTCAGTCTAGAAACTTAAAAAACAGCCAACTCACTTGGTTGCCAGTCCCTTCTTTTAAGTGATAACTTCCTAGGGCGCCTGGGTGGCTCAGTCAGTTGAGTGCCCCGACTCTTGGTCTTGAACTCAGGGTTGTGAGTTCAAGCCTCCACGCTGGGCATGAAGCTGGCTTTAAAATAAAATAAAATAAGATGAAATAAGTGCTAGTGTCTTCCAGCACCTACCCCATGCTGTCGGGGAGTGATTGACGTCTTGTCCACCCGACCCGTGCGGGTAGTTGTCATCTGGGCCCGGGGCCTGGCCCAGTGCTGGGGACCCAGCGGTGACTGAGGCCGCCCTTGCTAACCTTCTACTGCTGTCTCGGTTCTCCTTCCATTCCTTTGTTCAGTCCACAACACACAGTCTGGTACCGGCCCCTCCCTGGGTGCCAGGGACCTAGAAACAGGACACGGCCCCCAGTTCTCACGCCTTGTCCTCCGGGAGCTCATGCTGGAGAAGCGAAAGCTGGGCCTTCGTCTGTAGCTGTTCCAGGCCCAGCACCCTCCTCTTTCAACTCCCGGCCGAGAGCAGCTGTCTGGTTCCACTTTGAACAGCAAGAGCCTCCAGGCCAGAAAGGAGAAACTCGATTTAATTAGTAGTTCCAATGGCAGAAGGGAACCACTAATTAAAAAAAAAAAAAAGAGGGAAGGTAGCACCTGCAGAGTGACATCGTATATATATTAATTAATTCTCCCCGCCACCCTTCGGGACAGAGTTCAATTATCATCCCCATTTTATGTGTGAGGAAACTGAGGCTCAGAGGATGGAAGAAACTTGCCTGGTTCTCACAATGTATGGGAAGTGGCAGAGCTGGTCTGTTTCTTTCTTTCTTTCTTTCTTTCTTTCTTTCTTTCTTTCTTTCTTTCTTTCTTTCTTTCTTTCTTTCTTTCAGAGAGAGAGCGAGCTTGGGTGAGCAAGGGGCGGGGAGAAAGGGAGAGAGAGAGAGAGGGAGAGAGAGTGGAGAGGCAACGAGGGGCTTAGGCTCACGAACCTGAGATCCTGACCTGAGCTGAAGTCAGACGCTTAACCGACTGAGCCCCCCAGGCGCCCTGAGTAGTTCGTACTTCAGAGGGCAGATACCTCATACCACGGTCTGGGGTCCTTTGGTGCAAGGGTTTGGAAAAGCCAGGGTGTGCAGGTCCGGGCGATGCGGGGAAACCAGAAAAGCCAGTGAAAGGAGGTGCCCCAGGGTGCTGAGCTGGGCCTGCTCTGGGACTCAGCGTGGGTTGTGCTGAGTCACCCGGGCTTCACGGGATGGCGCGGAAGCCAGGGGATGGCCAAGTGGAATGACACAGTAATTGTAACCGTGATGCCTTTACACGACAGGCCCGCTGTAAAGTGCTTCTGGGGCTCTATCACCTTTAATTTTTTTTTTTTTTAGGAGAGAGAGAGAGACAGCGTGAGCAGGGGAGGGTCAGAGAGAGAGGGAGTCACAGACTCGGAAACAGGCTCCAGGCTCTGAGCTGGCAGTCAGCATAGAGCCCGACGCGGGGCTCAAACCCACGAACTGCAAGATCATGACCTGAGCAAAAGTCGGACGCCTAACCGACTAAGCCACCCGGGCGCCCCACCATCGCCTTTAATTCTTATGTCCATCCGCTCTCAGGAGGGTGTTCCCCTCATTTGATTCAGGAGAAACCCGAGGCCCAGAGGATGAAGTGGCCTGGCTGAGGTCACACGAGGGGGAGGGGGTCCCGTCTTACACATATTGAACACGCACAAACTTAGTCCTGCCCTTAGCCGAAGAACTGTCTCAGGTCTCGCTTATTTCAACCAGCTGCAGAGGCAGCAAAGGCCCAGAGGCTGGAGGGTGTGGCCAAATGTGGGAAGGGATTTTCTGGTTTGTCAGATAGCTTTGTTCAGAGGCAAAAAGCATGAGAAGGATGAACCCCAGGAAGAAGACAGTGAAAGATGATTCTGCTCAGGACCATCTTGCGGCAAGGCCTCACTCAGAGAAAAAGGCAAAGTTTGCCCCCTGGCCTGTGAGGCCCTGTACTGTCTTGCCCCATAAATATCTCCAACCTTGGCTCCTCCCCCTTTCCCCTTCACTCACGACACTGCAGTGATAGCGACCTCCCCCATGCTCTTCATACAGACCATTCCTGCCACAGGGCCTTTGCACTGGCCCCTTCTGACATTTGGAGCTCCCTGATCCCAGCTAGGCCCATAGCTTCCTCCCTCTCCTTCCTCAGATCTTTACTCAGAAGTCACTTTTCCAACAAGAGGGTCCATGACCACCCCATTTAATACTGTAAGAGCCCTCACTACGCGCACATGCACACACACACACACACACACACACTCCATTCCACTTCCCTGCTGTAATTTCTTTTTAGCACTTAACCACCACCCAACAAAATGTATTTTCTTATGCGTTTGTCTTCCCCACGGAAGGGCAGCTCAGCGAGGGCAAGGACTGTAGTCCCTACTGTTCACTTACTGAATCCCTCTGGGGCCCTTGGCTCCGTTTAGGAGCTGGGGATGTGGGAGTGGACAGGAAGACAAAACCCCTAGCATTCACATCCTGGAAAAGGAGAGAGGCCCTCGCTGAAATAAGCACATGATTATATGATAACAAGAGGGTAGTGTAGGAGATAAGACAGAAAGGAGATGGAGGCTGGTGGGGCTGCTATTTACCCCACGTGGCCGGAAGTGGGCCTCTCTGAGATGACTTTCGAGCTGTGGCCTGGACAGAATGATGGAGTCAGTCGTCGTCGTCTTCTTCTTCTTCTTCTTTTTTAAGTGTATTTATTTAGAGAGAGAGAGAAGCAGGGACAGAGAGAGAGGGAGAGAGAGAATCCCAGGCAGGGTCTGCGCTGTCAGTGTGGAGCCCGACACGGGGCTTGAACTCACGAACCATGAGATCATGACCTGAGCTGAAACCAAGAGTCGGACGCTTAACCAACTGAGCCACCCAGGCGCCCCTGGAGTCAGTCTCCTGGCCATTATAGGAGGAGAGTTTGTTGTAGGCAGAGAGAGCCCATAGATAACAAAAAATTAAGAAAATAAATTTACAAAGCCCTGGGAAGGGCCGGTGTTGTTGGAACAATGGTTGGGGGCCTGTGTGCCCAAAGGAATGGGCTAGAAACAGTGTTCAGGAGGGTTGAGAAGGTCCTGGCACATACCTGGTATTTTCTTCTAAGTATGTGGGATGGGAGGGAAGAAGGGAAGGGCCCCTGACCTGCTCTCCCGGCTGCGCGTAGGGCACGGTCAGGGCAGGCATGGGCACAGGGAGAGCAGGAGAAAGTATTTTAGCCAAAGGAGAGGTCACAAGGAATGATTAGTGGAGCAAAGGTTAGATTCGGGATCGGCTTGCGATTGGAGCCACAAATATTTGCTCCATCTGGAGTCTTCTGTCGGAGGGAACATTCCCACTCTTGACTCCTGCCAAAACTCTCGTGTCCTGTGCCATCTGGCATAGTGGTAAGAAGCATGACCTCCGGAGCCAGTGCATGGTCCCCGGCTTAACATTCCAGGGCCATTACTCACACGCCAGTGTGACCTTGGGCAAGGGACTTCAGTGTCCTGTGCCTCAGTTTCCTCCCAGTAAACTTGGCGATAGTAATAGGAGCCACCTCATAGGGTCACTGTGAGGACAAAGTGAGTCATGGCCCAGAAAATGTCAGCTTTTCTTTATTTCACACCCCATATGCGATCCCTGGCAAAGTCCTGTGTGAGCGGCTTTCTCAAAACACTGGTGGTGGTTTGGGGGTTCACATCTGCCGAATCTGAGTTCTCTAGTTGGGGCAGTGGATTGGGCGGGGGGGGGGTCTGGGGGGGGTTACCTGAGCTTCCTCGTGCCTCCCCACCAGGCATCGACCTCATGGACATGGCTTCGGACATCCTTCAGCCCCAAGGAGATGACGTGGCCCGCATCAGCTGGCAGCTCCGTAGCCTCATCTGCAGATACCAAGAGACCTTCAGTGTCATCGAGAAGGTGCTCTGCAGGGCGGGCAGGTTACCACCCCCCACCCCGTCCACCTCTTCTAGACCGGCCCTAAGCCCGCCCCCCCCCCCCACCCCGGCTCTCTTGCAGTGCCCTAAGCCGGTGATCGCCGCAGTCCACGGTGCCTGTATTGGTGCAGGTGAGTGGGCAGACACCCACGGCACATCTGGGCACTCATGCGGGTCGGGTGCCTATTGGCTGCCTCAGCCAGTGACCACCAGCCTCAGATAGTTGCTCTCTCAACTCGGTCCTGGGGTAGGAGCCCGCCACCTGGAAGGAGGGGTTGGTCCTTGTGGTTGCTTAATGCCCCTGGCCTCCACCTCGCAGGCGTGGACCTCATCACTGCTTGTGACATCCGGTACTGTGCCCAGGATGCTTTCTTCCAGGTGAAGGTGAGCCATCCTCCCGTGTTCTTGGGTCCTGCTTAGAGCTGGGCAGGGAGTGGCTGGGTGGGGCCAGAGCAACAACAGGGCAGGCTAAGGGAGTGGGCGCAGAGGAGGAGGAAGAAGGGAGGGCTTGGAGTGAGCCCGGAGGGCTTCGTGGAAGTGTTGATCAGAATTGCACCTTAAGAAGTAACACTTTGGCCACGAAGGAAGTCAAGGGGAGGCCATGCAGTCTACATGGGGTTAGGGGTGAGTAGAGGTACGGGGGTGGGGATGCGGCTGGGGTTGCTGCTGGGATCAGTCCTGGAGAGGAGGCAGACAGGATGGAGCTGTAGAGGCAGGAAGGGGGTCAGATGGGCAGAGTTTGAGGGCTTCCCTCTGGAGATAAGACATGGCCCACCCTAAGGAGTTGGGAGGGCAGAGGAATTGGGAAGTGGGCTGTATTCTAGAAGGAAGTTACCTGGGTGAAAGCACGTGGATGGCAATTAAATGGAGTGGGAGTGGGGAGGGGGCAGTCTCTGAGGTGGGTGTGGAATGAGGCTCTGCAGTAAATGGGGAATTTCATGGGCACTGCGGTTTCACAGTGGGGGACAGTATGGGGCACAAGCACTGATACGATGGCCTACCCCAGGAGGTGGACATAGGTTTGGCAGCAGATGTGGGAACGCTGCAGCGGCTGCCCAAGGTCATCGGAAACCAGAGGTGAGCGGAGAAGCCGAGGGAGGGCACCACGGGCATCTCCCGGGCCCGGGGTGAGTGCCGTCCCCTGACAGGCCCTGCTTTCTCGCAGCCTGGTCAGCGAGCTGGCCCTCACTTCCCGCAAGATGATGGCTGATGAGGCCCTGGACAGTGGGCTGGTCAGGTAGGGGCCGAGGCCTCGGCTGGTTGAAGGCTCAGGTGCAATCTGGGCGAGGCTCTGGGGTCCCCGGGTTATCTTCACGGATTCCACATGGCTTCCTGTCTCTGGGTGGTCACTTCTTTATTCTGGTGTCCGGTGCCCTGCTCTGATTCGTCTATGTCACTGGGCGGTTTTCCGATTTCCACAGTGGTTGGTCAATTCCTCATCCATGGGGACTCTGCAGAACTCCCCCTCCCCAACCACCCACACACCCCCATTACGGATTCCCTTCATCCGCAGTCGGGTGTTCCCAAACAAGGAGGACGTGCTCGAGGCGGCCTTCACCCTGGCGGCAGAGATTTCCACCAAGAGCCCTGTGGCAGCGCAGAGCACCAAAATCAACCTGATCTACTCCCGCAACCATTCCGTGCCTGAGAGTCTCAACTACATGGTAAGGATTTCTGTTCAACCAATCACAGCCCTTCTCTGATCCCAGAGCGGCCAATCAGGGCCTCTGCAAACAGGCCTTGTCCTCTGATTGGTGCGCTGCCTCTTCCCTGTTTTTCATTGGCCCAACTCCAATCCTCCCTCCCATTGTGCTCCACCCTCTTCATCCAGGCCACGTGGAACATGAGCATGCTACAAACCGAGGACATCGTTAAGTCTGTCCAGGCTGCGATGGAGAAGAAGGACCTGAAGAGCGTGAACTTCTCCAAGCTCTGAGAGCCCCCCAGGACCAGGCTCAGGCCCTGGCCTGGGGGTCTGGCCTTGTCCCCTTGCCCCACCCCGTGCCGTTTCCTCATCCACAGAGAATTAGGATGAGCGAAGCCGGTCGCCTCCGTGCCTTCATGCCTGATCTCCCAATTTGTTGCTACGACACTGATTTCCTCGTGCCCAGGGCCTCGTCTTCACCCAAACAGTAAAGCAGCTTAATGAACCTGGTGTCCTTATTGGAAAGAGGCGAGGCAGCAAGGAGCCAAGAAGCGCCTGCCCCCACGGGCCTCAGCTGGGCGGAATGTTGGGGGCGGAGATTTGGCCAATGGGAATGGGAGCCACGCGGGCGATGCCCATTCGGAGCTGGCGATGGGCAGCCCAGGGCAAATAGGAAGTCTGGCAGGGGCGGGTCAAGCAAAAGTCACGTGCCTTCCGCCCGGAAAGGCCCCAGATGGTGTCCCTGTCTGCTCTAGGCTCCAGAGCGGTGTTCGCCCTGCCTGGCACCCACTCACTGCATAGCGTAGTGGGATCCGACGCCGGAGTCTGGCTGGAGTTCTGTTGCTACCCAGTCTTGGCCCAACTGCCTCAGTTTCGTTAAGCTTCAGGTTTTCGTGTCCATTAGATAAACCCAACCTCCCGGGTTTAGGTTTGGAATGCGTGCAAGAGGCCAAGGATTAATTTAATGCCTTCTATATGCCAAGTCCTATTCTGAGCGTTTATTCACCGCGTGAGTCCTTTCAAGGCTTCTGTGAAGTCAATACTACTAATATCCCCATTTTACAGATGGGCAAATGGGGAAATTGAAGTTAACGCCAAACTGATGCAAGACCAAACAGCCAGGAAGTGGCCAGGGCAAGATTTGAACCCAGAGCCTTTGGCTCCAGAAGTCGTGATCTAAGCCACTATCTATGCAGCCTAGAGCACCTGGGTGGCTCAGTCGGTTAGGCAGGGGACTTCAGCTCTTGTGATCTGTGAGTTTGAGCCCTGCGACTGGCTCTGTGCTGACAGCTCAGAGCTTGGAGGTTGCTTGTGATCCTGTGTCTTCCTTTCTCTGTGCCCCTCCCCCCCTCGTGCTCTGTCTCTCAAAAATGAGTAAACGCTAAAAAATAAAAACAAAGTTATATGGCATTGGACTGTCAGGCATGCGGTGGGCATGCAAATAAACGTAGGTGCTCCCTGGGGCGCCTGGGTGGCTTAGTCGGTTAAGCGTCCGACTTTCGCTTAGGTCATGATCCCGCGGTTCGTGGGTTCGAGCCCCGCGTCGGGCTCTGTGCTGACTGCCAGCTCGGAGCCTGGAGCCTGTTTCCGTCTGTGACTCCCTCTCTCTCTGGCCCTCCCCTGCTCACGCTGTCTCTCTCTCTCTCTCTCTCTCCTAGAAATAGATAAAACATTTAAAAAAAAAAACAAAACGTAGGTGCTCCCACAGTTCCTCCGAGTTTCCAGAGCGCCTAGTTCCTTCCTGCTCCCACTCACCCCCGTTGCCCATCTGTCATGGGCCACACCTGCAGCCTTGCCCTGCCCACCCCTCCTGAACTGTCCCTCTCTCTGCTAACAAAGGTCTGGCCAGGCTTTTATTGACTGTGATAAAGCCCTGGCAGGGCTGAAGTTCACTACACTTCCTCTTTGCGAACGGGCCTGAAGGAGGCGGCTCTGACCTAAGTGCCCCTGGCCTGACCCAGATGATCTGGGTTCTGGCTGGTTACCAGTGAGACTGGTAAGAGGAGGGACACAAGGGGGCGCCCTAGAAAAAGACAGGAGCGTGGGGTGCCCAGAAGAGGGGCCCTGTGGACCCTGCCCTGCCAGCCCCTCCCCTATCTCAGGAATAAGAGCCACCCCCCTCCTGCCCACTGCCACCATTCCCCACTTCTGTGCCTCTTCTCACCGGACGACGACGACGGGCCACCAGCCCAGCCTCTCAAGATGGCCTATGTTCCTGCTCCCGGATACCAGCCCACCTACAACCCGGTGAGATAGGGGCCCAGGCCCTAACTGCGGGCCCCCGGCCTAGTTTCACCCTGAACCCCGCACACCAACTTCCTCTCACCCTGATTCCTCAGAGGCACCCCTTCCCCACCACCACCACCCCCGAGTCTGATTTACCCGACACAGCCTGGGACTTGATTTACTCCCACCCTGACACTCAGGCTATTTATGTCCATACCTGACTCTTGGCTCGCCTCACCTTCATGCGGATGAAGGACACCCCTAGTGTCCTAATGGGGGGGGGGGGCTTCTCGATGAGGAGTAAGGGCTCACCGGGCCCCTTCCACAGACTCTGCCCTACAATAAGCCCATCCCCGGCGGACTCTGTCGGAATGTCTGTTTACATCCAAGGAGTGGCTAGTGAGCACATGAAGAGGTAAGTAAGGCACTCCCCTGCGCCAGGCTAGGCCAGGAGAGGGGGAAACGGGGCTTCCACTCTCCTGCAGAAGGCCTTCCCCCTCCCCCACCTGCTTGGGAAGGGGGGCTCTGTGCCACTGCCCCCGATGGCCAAAGGTCAGCCCTAGCCTGGGACGTCCAGGACTTGGTGACCAGGAGCAGGGAGCCTGGGGGCTGCGGGGAGGGGGGAGGGGGCCGGGAGTCTCACTAAGAGAGGCGGCTCTGGAGCTGGGATGCTGGACTGGAACTGATGGGTGTGATGGCATGAACTCAGATCACAGGCTCAGAGCCCGGCCAGCTCTGTCACTGGCCAACTGTGCAACCCCGGAAAGCCACCACGCCTCTCTGTGCTTTAGATTCCCGTCTGTAAAATGGGATTGTTTTGAGGATTCCATGTGTAACACTGGAAAGTAAGCAGTAAAATAAGTCTTAGCATTTTTTATAGGGCCCTAAAATGGTGATAAAAAATTGACCTGACCTGAAGGCACGGTTGGTTTTTTTTACTCATTGGTTTTTTCGTCATTGAGTGCCCGCTGTGTGCCTACGCACTGGGGAGAGAGCAGTCGACGGGACCAAGATCTCTGCCCACGCGGAGCTGACATCCTAGTAGAGAGGAGAGATGAAAGATAAAAATCAAATATGCAGGGGCCAGTGGTAATAAGTGCTAAGCACAGAAACAGGGAAAGGAGATGGGGAATGGATGTAGAGGAGGGAGGACTGTGGCACTGTCCCTTTAAATAGGGTGGTAGGGAGGGAACACTTCAGCAAAGACCCAAAGAAGGGGCAGGAGGGAGCCTGGGAGTATAGGTGTAGAAAGAACAGCCAGTGCAAAGGCCCTGAGGCCGGTGTTTGTGCCCAGTTAGAATAACTTCAGGGATGCTGGCCTGAGGGAAGGTGTGGGTCCCGCTCTGACTTGCCTCTTCAGAGGTCCCCCTGGCTGGAATGGCCTGCGGGGCAGGGAGGGAGCAGAGAGACAGGTTCCTAGGATAGTGCCTGGCCCTTGGAAACGCAGGCGTCCCAGCTATAATCTTATTTAAAGTGGGGAGGGGCTGGGGGGCGGTGGTCTGGTTAAGGAAAGGGAGTGAGCGAATGCGTGGCAGCCTTCCTGGACTTCAGGGGCACTACTTTCCCTTCCTCTCTGGGGTCAACAGTGCCCAAGTGTGCTGCCTCCTGATGTTTTTTTCCCCCAACCCCTCCTCCCGCCCAGTCAGGGATGTGACCAGTCAGGGATGTGAGAACGGGGTAGGTGTGAACCGGCTTCCAGGAGGAGGTCCGGGTTCGCAGGAGGGGGTGGGGAGCGGGGGGGGGGGGGGGGGGGGGGGGGGGGAACAGCCCTTCCTGTTCCACCAGGTTCTCGGTGAACTTAGTGGCGGGGCAGCACGCGGGGGCGGACATTGCCTTCCACTTCAATCCCCGCTTCGATGGCTGGGACAAGGTGGTTTTCAACTCGATGCAAGGCGGCAGGTGGGGCAGCGAGGAGAAGAAAAGAAGCGTGCCCTTCCGCAAGGGCACCGCATTTGAGCTGGTGATCATGGTCCTGGCGGAGCACTACAAGGTCAGAGCTTGGGGGCGGGGCCTCCCCATGGTGGCGCCCCTCCCCCTTCCCTCCTCCTACCGGCCTCTCCCTCCTTCTCCACCTTCCTTCCTCCCCTGCTTCCTCTTTCCATCTGTGCCTCCTCCTCCTCCCCCCTCCACCCCCTTCCTTCTTGCCCCTCCCTCTTATTTCCCTTCTCCTCCCCCCTCTCTCCTCCCCCCTTCCCTCTCCCTCCACCTTTCCTACCTCACTTTTTTCTTTTCCTTCTTCCCTGCCTATTAAGCGTTTTTTCTCTTAAACAATTTTTTTTTCTCCCATGTGTCTCATTCCGATTCCTCCACCGTGGACGTCCTTGTCATGTTTAATGTATGTCACCTTGTCCCCTGCATTCTTGCAAAATGTGTATTCTGGCTCTTTCTTCTGGAGAACTTGGAACACACAAAAGGAGCGCTGGGTGCAGTGACACCCCCCCCCCTTGGTCAGCTCCAGTGGCTGTGAGCTCGAAGCCCCTGGTTTTCATCCTTCCCTGACACCTCCCCTCTCATGGGATTTAAAAGCAAATCCCAGATATAATTTCATTCATAAATATTTCAGTTTTTAAGAGCATAGTTCCAAGGCCACTAATTACCACAGCTGAAACACTTTCTTCCTGGGGCCTCACATCAGCCAGCCCTCCGGTTAACTCATAAATACCTTAACGTGTGTTGTTGTTTTAAAGTTTATTTTGAGAGAGAGAGAGAGAGAGAGAGCATGAGAGCAAGAGCTCAAGCAGAGGAGGGACAAAGAGAGACGGATAGAGAGAGAATCCTGAGCAAGCTCTGCACTGTCAGCACGGAGCCCGACACAGGGCTCAAACCCACCAACTGTAAGATCATGACCTGAGGGTTTTTTGCACTTAATCTGAGTCAGCCTCCGGATAAGGCCCACACGCTGTGACTGATTACTATTATGCAAGTATTTTTTAAAGTTTATTTTATTTATTTATTTATTTAAATGTTTTATTTATTTCTGAGAGAGAGAGAGAGGCAGCGTGAGCAGGGGAGGGTCAGAGAGAGAAGGAGACACAGAATCTGAAACAGGCTCCAGGCTCAAGCTAGGCATCAGCACAGAGCCCGACGCGGGGCTTGAACCCATGAACTGGGAGATCATGACGTGCCGAAGTCGGATGTTTAACCGACTGAGTCACCCAGGCGCCCCATATTTTATTTTATTTTTGAGAGACAGAGAAAGAGCAAGAGTGTGAGAGTGAGTGGGGGAGGGGCAGAGAGAGAGAGAGGGAGACCAGAGAATCCAAAGCAGCCTCTGAGCTGTCAACACAGAGCCCGATGTGGAGCTCGAACCCACTAACCAAACCGTGAGATCATGACCCACGCTGAAGTTGGACACTTAACCACCTGGGCCACCCAGGCACCCCATGCAAGTATTTTTAAATTTTATTTTTTTTACCTTATTAAAAATTTTTAAAAGTTTATTTATATTTGTTTTATTTATTTCTGAGAGAGAGAGACAGAGTGAGCAGGGGAGGGTCAGAGAAAGAGAGAGACACAGAATCTGAAACAGGCTCCAGGCTCTGAGCTAGCAGTCAGCACAGAGCCCGACGTGGGGCTCGAACCCACGAACCGCGAGATCATGACATGAGCCAAAGTCAGACGCTTAACCGACTGAGCCACCCAGGCGCCCTGAGAGTCTTTTTGTAAATGTGTTACTGAAGTGTACAACAGAGCTCACTGGATTTTCACCAAGAGAACACCCCAGCATCCAAGTCCAGAAATAAAACTGCTTCGGAGCTGGCTGTCAGCCCCGTGCCCACAGCTTAGCGCTGTAAATAGAACCGTGATGACATAAAGGACACTGAGGTATGATAACAAGGCTCTACACAGGATTTCCACCATGCCTTTGACATGCCTGGCTGGGTTTTTACTATTCCCAACAATCCCTGAGTGAGCCTCCACTTCACAGATGGGGAAACAAAGGCTCAGAGAGGTGAAGTGACTTCCCCCAGGTCAGACAGTCAACATGCCGGAGGGGGACTCAGGCCCAACTCCTTTGGCACCGAAACCAAACCTCAGGCTCGATTCTCTCGTGCTCACCATCCTGACTAAATCCTGCGCTCTCGCCCATCCACCTGTCTCTCCCCCAACCGTTGACCCTGGCTCGACCTCTGACCTGTAGACTCCAAGAATCCTCACTCTGTGGCTATCCCAGCTCATCTCCAAGACTTGTCCCCAAGTTAAAAAGATCTCTGTCCCCTACTTCCTGTTTCTGCCTTCCCAAGGTCACAGGTGCCGACCCATAGAAATCCCTTCTATGAGTTCGGGCACCGGCTGCCCCCTACAGATGGTCACCCACCTGCAAGTGGATGGGGACCTGGAGCTTCAATCCATCAATTTCATTGGCGGCAACCCCCCGCCAAGCCAGGTGCGTGGCGTCCCTTCTCTTAGGTGCCCATTTCCTTCCTTAATTCGTTCCCTGCCTCCTTTCTTTCCTGGGCACCTGCCCTGGGCCAGGCTCTTCACTGGCCGAGCTACAAACTCGGAGGCCGCCAAGACAGCCCGCTGGGAAGACAGACATTCCACCAGACGGTGCTGGCTCCGAGCGGTCAAGCCTAGGATGGGAGACGGGAGGTTTAGGGAGTCCAGGGGCAGGGCTTCTGGGAGGAGGAGGAAGTCCGTAAGCTGAGTCAAGAAGCAAAGATAAGGAGGAACAAAAGCCACGGGGATGGCAGGCAAGTTCATGAGAAGTTGCCCAACACTGCTGTCACCAGAGAAACTGACCTCAAGTCACAATGAGCTACCGCCACACGCCCAGGGGAAGAGCTAACAAGAGAAAGGCACGCAATACCGATCACTGGAGAGGCTGGGGAGCTGGCCGACACTCCCCTGGGAATGACTGGGAAGTTCTCTGCAAGCTGAGCAGAGACACACCCCATGACCTAGAAACCCCGTTCCCAGGTCCACAGGGAAGAAACGGCCGCCCAAACACCCCCATAGCAGCCCAAACTCCAGACGCCAGCTGTGTCCTTCGGCTGAGGGTTCTACCCTCCCCCAGCCTGTAAGCGCCCGCCCCCCCACCACCTCTGCGGGGAAAGTGCTCTGATGCTCATCGGGCCCATTTTACAGATGGGGGAACAGAGGCACAGAGACAGGAGGAAGCAGGATAAGGAAGGGAGCGAGAGTAGAATTTACCAGGCTTGCCCTAAAGAGGTGGAGTGTCACTGCGCTCTGAAGAGCCCTAAACATGGCGAGTTCCTCTCCATGAATGAGCCACCTGGGTGCCACTCTTTGACCCCAGAGTTGTCTTGGACCGCGGTGGTGGGGCTGCCCTGGACAGGCCTCCTTGACACCCCCCCGGGCCCTAGTTTGGGGTCTTCCCTCATTGCTTCCCACACACATTGCCTTTGTGCCTACGGACGTCCGTGGGTATGCCGGCACACCCACTACCTGTTGATGGGTCATGGATTTCTCCTTGTGGGGGGGGCTTGGTGGCCTGAGGAGGTCTTGGGGCAGCCACAGGACCCCCAGCCCCCCTCACCCTTTCTGCCTTCCATTCATCTGTGTAGCGTCCTGGACACACCCACCAACAGCCAAGTAACCTGCCTGTAAGTGGGAGGGGTGTGTGGCCATTTTGGGGGCGAGGGGTGGTGAGAAGCGGGAGGGGGTCAAAGAGGTGGGCCCCCCAGTTGTACTAATCCAACACCCAGAGATATGCCTGCATAGAGTTGGCGTGCCATAAATATTTGTCAGATATTACAGAATCATATCTCTCCTTCCTCACTCCACAGACCATGGAGGGACCCCCAATCTTCAACCCGGTAAAGTGTCCTGTGGGCATTTAGGGCTTGGCGGCAGGGAGTCGGCAGGGATGTAGGAGCTGGGGGTGGGTAAGGGGCTCTGTGAGGGTGGGAAATAGAGTGGGGAGAGGGTGTCGGGGTGGCCAGAGTCGGGAGGGGATGGGAGTTGGGGACATTTCCTAGGAGGGGGCAGCCATCTCTGAAAATGTGTCCCTGCCTCTGGTGTCTGGTGATCTGAGAGGTGATGGGACCCCCATGTCCTTTCCCACAGCCTGTGCCATTTAGGAAGATCTTGCAAGGGGGGCTTACAGCCCGAAGAACTGTCGTACTCCAGGGCTTCATACCCCACACAGGCAAGAGGTACACGGTCAGCCCCCTCCCTCCTTCAGAGCCAGGAGTCTGGGCCCCGGCCGCCTCCTCCCCTGGAGACCCAGGCACTGGCCCCTGTCTCATTCCCACCTCCTTCCCTCTCTGCCTTCAGCTTTGCAATCAACTTCGTCATGGGATCCACAGGGGACCTGGCTCTGCACATTAACTCCCGTCTGACCGAGGATGTCGTGGTTCGGAACAGCTTCCTGAATGGTTCGTGGGGATCCGAGGAGAAGAAGATCACCTACAACCCGTTTGGTCCTGGAAAATTCTTTGATGTGAGTCTGGGGTCTCTTTCGCCCCCTTCCCTCCAAACCCTCTGTCCTGGCCCTAGCCTCAAGCCTGCCCTCCCCCGGCAGCTGTCCATCCGCTGTGGCATAGATCGCTTCAAGGTTTACGCCAATGGCCAGCACCTCTTTGACTATTCCCATCGCGTATCGGCCTTCCAGAATGTGGACGTGCTGGAGATCCAGGGTGATATCAACTTGTCCTATGTCCAAGTTTGATCTATTCCCAGGGCCATAACTCTTGGGGACACAGAGAGAAAGATCCCACAGGACTCTCTTCTAAGCCCTTAATAAAATGTTTGAGGGTATCTCATGAATGTCCGAAACGCCATTCACCTCCCTCACCGTTCCTTCCTTCGTTCAATCATACTATCCATTGAGCCACCTCATCACCTGTCCACCCATCTTCCCATCACAATAAATCTAGGAATATTCCAGACACAGATTGTGGGCTTTAAGTGTATCAACTCATTTTCTCCTCACAAAAACACCAGGAGGTAGGAACTATTATTATCATACTTCTGGAAAAGATGAGGAAACAGGCAAATTAAAATAAAGCAAATTGCCCAAGGTCACACAGCCACAAATGGCAGAATGAGGATTTAAATCAAGGTGGTTTGGCTACACACTTAGTCACTGTACAGCCCATTTTTCCATCCATCTATGTAACCACCTGTCTGTTTATCCATCTCAACCTCCATAAATCTCTCCAAACATCCATCTAAGTGTATATTCATCTATCTGCCTAAATATACAGTCAAGGACACCTGGCTGGATTGGTTGGTGGAGCAGCAACTCTTGATCTCAAGGTTGTAAGTTCAAGCCCCACATTGAATGTAGAGATTACTTTAAAAAAAATTTTTTTTTTAATGTTTTATTTATTTCTGAGAGAGAGAGAGAAACAGCGTGAGCAAGGGAGGGTCAGAGAGAGAGGGAGATACAGAATCTGAAACAGGCTCCAGGCTCTGAGCTGGCTGTCAGCACAGAGCCTGACGCGGGGCTCGAACCCACGAACTGTGAGATCATGACCTGAGCTGAAGTCGGACGCTTAACTGACTGAGCCACCCAGGCGCCCCGAGATTACTTTTTTTTTAATGAAAAGAAATTCTTTTTAGATATTTTGTTCATTTACTTTGAGAGAGAGAGACAGAGAGAAAGAGGGACACAGAGAGAGAGAGAGAGAGAGAGAGAGAGAGAGAGAGAGAGAGAATCCCAAGCAGATTCCGTGCTCAGCGTGAAGCCTGACACATCTCCATCCCACAACCCTGGCATCATGACCCAAGAGGAAATCGAGAGTTGTACGCTCAACTGACTGAACCACTCAGGCATCCCAGAGATTACTTAAAATTGTTTTGAAGATCTAAAACATAAAAATAAATTAAAAAATAAACAAACATCCAACCATTCATCTACTCACCTGTCCATCTAACTCTCCTCCTATCCCTCTGTTTGCCCATCCATTCATCATCCAACCCTTCACACATCCATCTGACCATCCATCCACTCAAACATCTAACCATTTATTCACTTATCCATCTGTCTAGCCATTCAGCTATCCTTACATCCAACTTGCAGTCGCTCATTCATCTCTTCATCTTCCATTTATCCATGCAATTCTCTGCCTTCCATCACATCCATCCATCCATCTCTCCTCCAATGCCCATTGATCCCTCTGTCCAGGCACCCATTCCTTCATTCTCTACCTATCATGTCATCCATCCACTCCTTATGATCTATTCTTCTATTCATTTCCAACTACGTGTCTATTCATTTATCATTTCCTCTCTCCATCTGTCCACTAACCATCTGGCATCCACCCAATCATCCTCTTACCACTGCTCTCTTGCATTGATTTAATCATTCATTCATTTACGCTTTCATTCACCCGTTCACTCATTCCTTTTTCATTTACTCACTTGTTTACATATCCATTATTCAAGGCATTTCTCAGTGTCTATTCATTTGTTCATTCATTCTGGTTATAGTCTCATTCTTCTAATCTAGTTCTCCAACTTGGCATACATTGCAATCATCTGGGGAGATTTAATTTAAAAAAAAATTTTTTTTAGAGGGGGTTGGGGCAGAGAGAGATGGGGACAGAGGATCCGAAGGCAGCCGGCTCTGCACTGACAGCAGACAGCCCGATGTGGGGCTCTATCTATCTCACGAACTAAGAGATTATGAACTGAGCTGAAGTTGGATGCTTAGGGCGGTCACTACCCCAGGTGGCATGTCCCAGCGATGGCAACGGAGGAACATAATCAGTAACAGAGACTGGATGGGCTCAGCGAGAGGGGATGAGCCTGGAGCTCCACCCGGAAGCAATGGAGAGGTCATGTTTCGTTTTCCACTGCTGCTGCAACACGTTTGAAGAAATATGGCTACAGACTTGCCAAAGAGGCCATTAATTTATAGATCCAAGACGTTCAATGACTTGCAAGTAGGATAAATACAAAGATATCCAGGGGAAGGGGGCAAGATGGCGGAGAAGTAGGGAGCTCCATACATTACACTCGCCCCCATATCTCGCACGGAGAAGGCCTGAAGCCATAGGAACCCTTACAGAATCCAGGAGTTTGGGAGGAAAAGGAGACAGAGTCCGCTGAGAAAACCTTCTAGTGTGAGTGCGAACTGGGGAAGATAAAATCGGGCCGGGACCAGAGACACAGAGGGACGGGGGCGACCCCCCTCTGCGGGGAGTTTAGAGGGGAAAGAGAGTGGCTGAAACTGCTCAAGACACTGTCCCTGTCGCTGGGGAACAAAAAACCTCCGCTCGGGACACAGAGGGACCCGGTTTCCTGCTCTCCAGCTGACCCTAGGCGGGACGCAATCATCCCAGGCGACCCCCAGATGAAACTGCTCCTCGCTTGCCAACCCGATCTGGAGGAGATGGGAGCACCGGCTTCCCATCTGGCTCAATCCCCAGGGGGAAGGCAGGAGGCTTGGGACTGCCCTGAGGGGATCGCCTGCAAGTTTGTGTTTCTGGCAATTTCAGTGGGGCGCGCGGACTAGGATCTGGAAATGAGGCCTGGCCTGGGATATAGAGCATGGCCCACCTTGGCTGCGCCCCCAGCACAGGGAGTTTACACACCCAAAAAAGTGAGTTGCAGCGCTTGGGTCAAGAAGGGACTGGAGCACCGCCACTCTTCTCCCCACAACCGCCAAGGCGGGATGCCTGCGGGGCGCACTGGATCAAACCACGCCCATCACTGCTGGAGATCTGCCCTCCTCCCTCTTTTTTTTTTTTTTTTTTTTTACTGGAGCACTGACCTGATTAATTCTGGTCACCGGCTTGCTTAAACAGTCACATTTAATCCATTCTCTAGATGTAAATTCTACACCTACCTGCCTTTTCATCTCTTTCTCTCTGGAGTAATCAAACTATATAGTTTCTCTGGATAACACCATCGTCATTTCTTTCACCTCTTCAACCGTATTCCACTCTTTCACTCTTTGAAAAAAGCTTCTTATTCCTTCTGCTGGCTCATTTCATTTCCAATTTCGCCTCATCCCCGCCCTGTCATCTCTCTCTTTCTCTATGCTCTTCAACCAGCACTGCATACACCCGGCTATTTATTTGTAGCTGGGAAATCTGGTTATATGCTTTACACTGTTTTTTTGTCCATTGGGTTTCTTTTTTCCTTTTCTTTTCTTCTTTTTTTCTTTTTTATGTATTTTTATTTTTTATTATTCGCCTTCCCTCCTCCCTCTTTTCTCTTTACTTTTTCATTTTCCCTTTCAGTTTGCGTGTTTGTTGGATTTGTCTGTGCATTTGTGTGCCTTTGTTCCCTGTGTGTTTGTCTGTCTGCTTTCTTCTCCAGGGCAAAGTCAAGAAACAAGCCAAAGCACACATGGTGGAGAGTTCCAAATACCACTACGAGTAGGAAAATAAAATAACCAAGGTCTCAACAAGAGAGCCCAAGAGATACCATTCAAAGAACACTTTTTTTTAAAATATATTTTTTAATTTATTTCTAGGAGAGAGAGACAGCGTGAGCGGGGGAGGGTCAGAGAGAGAGGGAGATACAGACTCTGAAACAGGCTCCAGGCTCTGAGCTGGCAGTCAGCACAGA